CTTCGTCAAGAGTCCTGCAAATTCTCTTGACGTTGCTGGATCAGCAAAGCGCTCCGCCCCTACTGACCCTGCCCGTTTTTTTTAAGGTCCGACTTGCTGTCGCGGCTTAGCGACATGGTCTGACCCACGCCTCGGACCCTTCCTTGGCCAACGGTGGTCATCACGTCCTGTCTTTGGACGTGTTGCAGTGCTCGGGACACTACACGCGTGAGCGTAGTGTCCAATCTTCTGACAGCGATGGCATCTTGCCGTACGCTTGTGACTCAGAGAGCGAGAGTTCTCGCTCTCAATGTGACAGAGGTCAATTGGTTCTGGACCTCCTTTTTCCTGCAGTCTCGTCGGAATTTAATTTGACGAGTTAGCCTGAAAATGCCTCAGGCTGAAGTCTTCTTGTTCCTTATACGCTATCGCCTTTTCCAGCGTACAGAGTCCTCTCAAAACATGTAGGTTTTCACTGGCACATCTACAAGACCGTATATTAACACGTTGATGACTGTGTGCTCATCAACAGGGTATTCCGTGACGCTACTCGTAAGGTAGAGCAGGTGTTGTGCATAAGCTTGCACGTCACGCTTACCTTGCTGGATTCTCAGGAGTGCAGAGCGTGCTCTGAACTCAGCTCTCGGTGGCTCAAACGTTTCTTTGGGCCGAGACTTCAAAATCTTCAACAACTCAAACGCGTTTGGGTCGTGAAGCTTGAGCCCTAAGGTCCAAGTCTTTGCTCGTCCCTTCAAATTGGACAGGGCGAAGGTGACTTGCATCTCATCACCCTCGATGTGACGGGCCCTGATGGCATCGTCTAATTCGACGAACCATCTCAAAAGGATCTCTCGTCGGTTCCCTTGTACCTTGAGACATCAATCTTCAAAGTTTGGGTTGACGCATGTGCGTCGGCCCGCCCATCGACTGATGAGAGCCTTTATGTTGTAGCAAGGCTATCTTTAGTCTTTCGACGGCAAGTTCCCCTTGTAGGAACTTGTTGATAGCAGCTTGTTGCTGGTCTCTGCTTAGAGACTCCAACATACCGGTGATGGCGGGTTCGCCCATGAGCACACTCATGCGGCCGACTACCTCCCATTCTGAGTCACTCAAATGGGAGTAGCCATCACGTGTGATGTGAAAGCTGTCGTCTTCTACGTCCAACATGTTCATGACGGACACTAAGTAGTCGTTGGACGGACTAAGAAGTGATACCAGGTGTAACGGGGCACCCTTTGCTTGGGGTGCCACGAAACTTCACGTACACTAGTACGTGCAGAGGAAGATAATCTACATAAAGTGCTAGTTTAAGTAAAGGGTAAAAAGAGAACTGTAATCAATACAGTTAATCTATCAATATAACCTCAGTCTTTATCCAACTATATTAAGCTACATTGTCGTATGGCGACAACCTGCTCACCACTCATTGCGCGCGTCTAGCAGCGATTGGTGGCAATATATGGTTGATATGTCGTTTATCAACCAATCTTCGAGCAGCGAATGAATACTATCCTAAAAGGGGATAATATCCCTTCAATAGTATCCATCCCGGATAATATTGGTGGGGAATTGTCACGCTAGACAATCTCCATATTGACACCGTTTGGTGTCAATATCATGTAACGGGATACCCCGTTACAGTAGGGGTTAACATGCGAGTTCTGACCGCACGTTGGTGTAATCCTTCGTAGCTTCATCACACACCGGATCTTCAGGACACTTGCCGAACAAGAACGAGACGAGGATATATAGGGAACAGCGCTGTGGGGTGACGTCAAGATTCATCGGTAACGGTCCGGGATGGCAGCAGCAGGCAGGTTGAACCCAGCAAAGAGAAGAGACATGACGTTGATGAGGACGCCCACAACGGCAACGACTTCGCCACTGGACAGCAAGTAGACAAAAGCAGCTGGCCCAGGAGCGTCAGTATGATCATGGAGAGGGAAAAGTTGATTCAGTAGAACAGCCGTGCTGAAGGACCAGATGCCGAGGAGAGGGAAGACGACTATGGTGAAGAGGAGATTGCTGCCAAGACGTAGGGGATCTCGACGAAAGTGATGCCAAGGAAGTACTAGAGAATGTTGTTCGTCTGCGCGTCGCACTCGTGGCAGTAGACGGCACGTTCCCGCAGGGTGAAGGGTAGACAAGAAAGGTACGTCACGTATCCCTCATACTGTGTTGTCATGAAAATGATACCTACGGCTGCGTTCAGCCCTTGATACGTTGTATAGTCGGCGTTGACGATCACGAAGCCGAATATGATGGCCAGGATAAGCGTGAGCCAGCACCGAATCAAGCTGTGCAATGGTGTTCGCCAGTATGTTGACTGGAATTGCTGCATGATCAATCAGAGTTGCATCCAGGAAGTAGCAGTTCGCTTGTGCTAAAACACTAGCTTTGGTAGACTATCGGGTGCAGATGCCGTCACACTAGGTTCAGCTAGACGAGCCAGCAACACTCGGCGCTCTAGAGATAGATTTGGACATTAGTAATCTTTCAGTTGGAAATGTTTAACCCGCTCCTAAGGCTCAGCACTAATTGTAGTCAACGGAAGCTCTTGAATCTCTGCACCTTTGACCTTCTATAGACAGCATAACACAGATTAATTTAACTATCAAGCTAATTAGCTGTTCGTATAAACGTTTGACGGTGTTTGCAGTACGGATTATCAAAATTTGAAGTGCGAAAAAGACTCGACCTCTTTTATGCTCTTGTGCGCATTTAGTGGGACAAGGGGGGGGTGGGCAGACAACAGCAGGTACCATAGATATTATTGATATCTTTGATCTCTCAGGTGTTATCTATTATTTTAAATAGAGGTTAACCATGATTTACACAAACGTTAGCCATCATTCTTCCACCATATTCTGGAAGAATCATGCGTTAAGAGAGGTCAGCCAAAACAAATCAAAGCAACGTGCTACCATGGTATTCCAAGCGATGCCAGTATCGCCGAGGTCGACGCTTAGGTAATCGCTGCTTCATCCAGAAGCCAAGCATCATGTACTATATACAATTTTTTCCAGGACTCGCAGCGCTACATCCGTGCCCGAACAAGGAGATCAGAGATCTGGTGACGATGTTGGACACACTCGAGACCGCTGCCAGTATCGTACACTGTGAGGGTATGACGACGTTTAGCTTTTTTCACCCGTCAAGAGCTGCTAACTCGGTGCAATATGGCCGATTCCCTGCAGGTCAATTGCTATGTAACGTTTGTACATCCCATTCAAATGGACACATTCTTTCTTCGAGAACGTGCAAAATCTTCTTTTCGTGGTGCCAAGAAGTGAATCACTATTTGTATCCATTCCGTCTGTTGACATGTGCGTGGTGTCTATGTATCACTCTTCTCTTGTCGTTAAGCTGTTTTTGGTTCGTCCATTATTGTTGGTGCACATTCTCCTTTATCTCACATCGTTGTTGTTGATTCATTGATCTGTTTTTTCGCAGTCTTCTTGCTTCTAATTTTGTTGCAAATCTTGTTTGTTGATATGTAGCTGGTCATAAAAGGAGAGGAGGGAAGCACCTCTCTGAGGGAAGAGCGGGCGTCATTAGCATTTTTTTTGGCAAATTAATATTGGATTGAGAAACGTCCAAGTGGACAAAATCTTTGGCGACTTCGGACGAGTTAAGAGGAAATGGTAGACATAGCTTCAATCAGGATATTAATTTAAGAGATGATAGATTGATGGAAGTTGACGCTATTGTGTGTCGATGCTGCGGTTTTTGCTGTTAAATAGTGAAAGAATGATGGCCAACGTTTGTGGTGTCAAGTACGTCCATTATTCACAAATAACTAACGACTGAGATTTCCAAGAAGTGTGACCCGGAACTGAATCTACAACGTGGGTGCTCCGAAGAGCCGGGGGCGAGGGTAGCGGAGGTTAGAGACATCCAACCCAAGCCAGATTCGAGCCTATCTTTAAGCGCTCTCAGTTCGACGCTGCCCTATACAGCAGAAGATATCAAGACATCCAAATGGACGCCCAACTGAATCGATGACCGCTTAGCGCGGCCAGCCGACCTGTAGACCGAGTAACCGAAATGACGTTACGCGCCGGGAGAGTGCCACTGAAATCGGCGACAGACTCCATTGTGGCCTCTTGAGCGACCGTACGAGCTGGATGTCGCTCTCGCCTAGGCGATGACGACGGCGAGGGGAACGCCAACCCGCCGTAATTTATCCCTTAGAAGCCGATCCATCCGCGATGGTGGGCCTCCGTTTGCCGCTTGCGCGGCCCTTCGACGTGGAACGCGATCACCGACGTAATTGCAAGGCGTGGGGAACGCCAACCCGTCGTAGTACCTCCCTTAGGAGCTCATCCATCTGCGATAGTGGCCCCCATCAGCCGCTTGCGCGACCTTTAGGACTTGGACTGTGCGTCCACCGCAACGGCGACTCGTGGCGCGGGGTACGCCTACATTCCGTAACCTCCCCCTTTTAGGCCGCTTGCGCGACCCGTCGGTCCACTGCCCTCACATCCAATACTGCGGTTGCAGCTTGCTCGAGGCAGACCCCAGATCACTTCGGTTCCCGTAAGGGGAGGATTCCCGCCGAAGTGGCCGCCCCGAAGGGGAAATGATGGCTAACGTTTGTGTAAATCATGGTTTACCTCTATCCGAATAATGGATAGCACCTGAGAGATCAATGGAATCAATCATGTCTGTGGTACCTGCTGTTGTCTGCCCATCCCCACAGTCCCACTTTAAACGCGCACAAGAGCATAAAAGAGGATTTTAATCGTTTGAAAGCTCAGGTCAGGATTTGTATTGGGCAAAACCTCCCTACCGGCCATCGATTCAGGCTGAATAGTCTCACCCACCCGGTGGTTCAGCGTCTTCCCTCTTGTTTTAGGATTCCCCGTCATTGAAAAATCCTGGCAAATGTAGAGAGCAGCAATCTATCTCATCGGTTCTTTTTTCTCTTGGACAGATCTCCTTTCAGGATAGGCGAATTCTTGAAGATGCGGTGAGCCGCACCCTATCTTGTTGGCACCCTCTGAGTTCGTGCAGATTTCATGTCATCGATCCACGCAGGTGGTAAGAGCTTTCATTTCGAGCTGGGACCACCTCGCATCACCAGCGACCGCTCGTCGAATAATAGAGTACTTGTATCGTAGTAGTGCTCACTTCACTTATGGCAATAGATTGCAGTGACATGCCTGCTGCATCAGCGAATGCAATGCGTGCACGTGCCCACCACAAAAAAGAGCAAGCTTTTCGTCGTATCGGAGCGCTGCCTGGAATTCAGATGATATCAAATCCAGACAAGATCGTGGAGCACGGGAGCACGACGCGTCGACGGTTGCGAATGCAAAACGAGGTGGTGATTTGCTGCTTTAGACTCGCTTTTGGGCTTGTACCTACAATTGCACCGTCTGACATATCCAGTTCCATAAATTTACAGTCACGTGTCGCCTATCTTGATGAAGTGTTAGTCTAAGAACAGGCGTTCTGGCTGAATAGAAAGTACCGAGTTACGCCCATCCTTTTCAATTTTGTGACAGAAGCCGCTATCGCAGGAGATCGCTAGCAGACGATATCACGACATGGACCTCCGCAGCTCTCACTCGAAAGCCCGCATTGTAGCTTTTCCCTTCCATCCACCATGCGTCCCCACTTCGCTGTTGCGCTGCTTGCTGTGTCCTTGGTCGCTACAATGGACAAGGCTGAACGACTTCGCCGACCTAGCTCACCACCTAATCGGAAGAGCGGAGACGACTCTGCTCAAGGGCATGTACGAGGGGCTCTCACCACTGATGAAGAAAGAGGGGCTAATACGCTGTTTCTGAATGCGGCCGCAAGTCAAGTATCTCATCTAAGAGAACGTGGGCAACTTGTTGCGTGGTTTCAGCCGCAGGAAGCTGTCAAAGGGACGATGGGCGATCAGGAGCTCCTTCGTTTCTGGGAGAACTATCTGGACCTCGGCAAGGCGGACAATTTTCGTGGCATACAAGAACTGGTGGAGGTTGATGGCCTGTTGGGCTTTGCATCGACAATCGCCCGGTTGAAGCGTGGTTCCGAGAGTGTGAAAGCTATTGCTTCTCGAATGGAGAAAAGGCTGTTTTACATGTGGCTATGTCAAGGAACGACACCTGAGTTGCTGTCCAATGAACTCAAGCTTGACATCGACGATGTTTTGCTTATTACACCAGCCTTTGCAATGTTGAAAAGCTACGAGAAATTCCTTGCTATCAGTGACCTTCAGGAGATCCAGGCGGCGAATCTATTGACGTACAAGCGGCCAGTCAGTGACGAGTTAAACGACCTGAGACTCCCAAGTGATGCCGACAACGACCTACGACTCCTCAGTGAGCGCGAGCACGATTTCGACAACAACCCGAGAAAGCGAGAGCGTGAGTCCGACGACGACTTACGAATCCTGAGTGAGCACGAGCATGAGTCCGACAACAACCCGAGAAAGCGAGGGCGTGGGTTTGACGTCAACCCGAGCAAGCGAATGCGTGGGTTTGATGAAAACCCAAGCAAGCGAATGCGTGAGTCTGATGACAACCTGAGCAAGCGAATGCGCGGTTTGATCGTGTAGCTCGTCGAGTAACCAGATTGTTTCTTTTTCTGTTTTTTGCTTTTCTTGCTTTTGTCCATTTTTGCTTTTTAAGACTACGTTCAGGCATGTTCACTTTCATTTACAGTACCACAGAGTGCGTAACGAATACCGGCTTTCATCTTGGGCGAGTCTATTCCGTACTTTGAATTTTGCTATTCCGTCCTGCAAACGCCGTCAAACGCTTTTACGAACAACTAATTAGCTTAATAGTTAAAGGGCTTAGCTAAATTCATACCCCTTTTCCTTAGATTCACACCCTTCCTTCAAAATCTTATATATAAAATCCCTATTTATTTTAAGATTTGTTTTCTGACAAAGGTATTACTCGATAATCTAGGCCATTAATTGGTAAGTAATACGTAAGAAATACCTAAGATACTACTCACGCCTGTGGTCACAGTAACCACAGGCGTGAGTACTCCCAGCCAACCGTCAATTGCATAATCGAACTTGCCAAGCCACAGCCAGAGAGACGCCTGATGTATTGAAAATGTACACGCCAAAGCCAACGTGATGACTCTGCTATCGTAAAACTTATGGATGACTATGATAAACTGAGCATGGCGACTTTAAATAAGTTAGCGAGCATACCGTTTTCGTACTCGTCCGCGTCCTTGCCCTTCTCGCACTTCGTTTGTACGCCCATTACTACTACTCCCAGCACGTCACCCATCTTTCCACAGCCGTGGGCACCACCGTTACCTGAAGCATCTCTGTTTGCACCAAGCCTTACGACACCTAACTTCAATCGCTGCCGCAATACCAACTTGGTGTGTTAGACGATTGCACTGGGGGCGCAGCATTGTTGCAGTAGTGAGATGTGGATGAGCTGGAGGGATAGTGTAGCACATATCGGGCGTTAACGCTGAGTTGAGATGCGTTCAGCCCCATACCGTTAGCACAGCCGACGTTGCAGTCAAGCCCTTCACCGGCATCTTCGCTCACGTTGTTAGTTAGCTGAACATTCTGCCATTTCCCACGCTCCTCGTCATTTTTTCGACGCTAAAATCTTGCATCGACCGCCGGATAGCTTCCAAGAGAATCAGTTCCTCTAGCCGCGCAGCGTCTGCAGGTGTTGTCGCAACGCGGGAAGCTGCATCATTCAGCGCTGCGACACGATTCGGGTGTGGACTGTTGGTCACAGGCTTGTCGCTGATGCTAAGCTGCAAGCGAAGCGAATCGCGAAATCCGATCACGGTCTTCCACTGACGCGTACTGCACACTCTAAAGACTTGACGTTATAGTGCACTCTATTTCTGTAGCTTTGGGGATGTCAATGGCGCTACTTCGACGCGGAGACATTCCGTTTTACAATGTAATGCAAAACATGAGGCTTAGCACATAATCGAACTGTGAAAGAAGAGAATCAGGGGCTGCGCTTACTAACACGGAATGGGTCGAGGTGAGCTCTGTCGGTATCAGTGGCGTGTACAGGACAGTGAACCCTTTCTGGTTGCAAAATGGACAGCTACATACAGTCCACACAAAAGACACGTGAGTCAGAAGCCATCAATCTCGAGTCTCCGGACGGCAAAATGTCTTCACGCACGAAATTGTTTTGCATGGCGGCCGAATCTAAAGATAGCACTCGGATCAAATGGGTTTCTTGCAGCAGCTCGACGTGTTCAGACTCCCGGGGTAGGGCTAGAAACAACGTAACGTCATGCAGCGCCAACCGGTCATTAGATGGTTCACCTTGGCAGTATCCTCCTGTCTCTCTCTCACCATAAAGCAGATCGGACACTCGAGAGTAAATCCCTCCTCCTTCATCTCTTTGCCAGGAAAGCGCGGCGCCAGTTTGCGGTCGACGATCAGACGGCGCGCAATCTTGAGCTCCCACGGACAGCTCAGGTGTAGCCTAAATCGACAGCAAAGTCATTACCTGATGGAGGTAACGTAGATAAGTACGGCAAACGTACCCGATCGGCTTCGTGTACTTCCCGAGCTCGCGCGTCGAAGGTATTATTGAGTAATACCTTTATCAGAAAACAAATCTTAAAATGAATAGGGATTTTATGTATAAGATTTTGAAGGAAGGGTGTGAATCTAAGGAAAAGGGGTATGCATCTAAGGAAAAGGGGTGTGAATTTAGCGATTCCCTAGTTAAATTTATCTGTGTGATGCTATCCATAGAAGGTCAGAGGTGCCGAGTTTAAAGAGCTTCCATTGACTAAATTTAGTGCTGAGTCTTAGTGTAACGGGGTGAACCGTTACATAACATTTTATAAGAAATTGTTAATAGAATATAACTATAAGAGTTATATTCTCAGAATATTGTCATAAGGACAAATGTTCTGTGGCACTTACGAGTAGTTCCTAATTGGTTGTTATAGGCCATTACATCAACCAACGAAGGCGCGCCACGACAGACGCACGCAACGAGTGGCGAGCAGATAGTTGATATGCACATTTGTATTCAGACATAGTTAGATGAGGATAAACAGTGGTTGATTAACAGACATTAACTATGATAAATACAGTTCTGCTTTTTACTTTAACCAAGTACTCGCTTCTCCTTACCGTCTTCCTCTGCACGTACCAGTGTACGTGAAGTTCCGAGGCACCGCCTTATTCTGTCGTCAGAATAAGTAGCTTGTACTGTCATCCGTACAAGCTTCAGGGTGCCCCGTTACACTTAGGAACGGATTGAACATTTCCAACTGGAAGATTACTAATGTCCAAATCTATCTCTGGAGCGCCGAGTGTTGCTGGCTCGTCCAGCTGAACCTAGTGTGACGGCATCTGCACCCGATAGTCTACCAAAGCTAGTGTTTTAGCACAAGCGAACTGCTACTTCCTGGATGCAACTCTGATTGATCATGCAGCGATTCCAGTCAACATACTGGCGAACACCATTGCACAGCTTGATTCGGTGCTGGCTCACGCTTATCCTGGCCATCATATTCGGCTTCGTGATCGTCAACGCCGACTATACAACGTATCAAGGGCTGAACGCAGCCGTAGGTATCATTTTCATGACAACACAGTATGAGGGATACGTGACGTACCTTTCTTGTCTACCCTTCACCCTGCGGGAACGTGCCGTCTACTGCCACGAGTGCGACGCGCAGACGAACAACATTCTCTAGTACTTCCTTGGCATCACTTTCGTCGAGATCCCCTACGTCTTGGCAGCAATCTCCTCTTCACCATTGTCGTCTTCCCTCTCCTCGGCATCTGGTCCTTCAGCACGGCTGTTCTACTGAATCAACTTTTCCCTCTCCATGATCATACAGACGCTCCTGGGCCAGCTGCTTTTGTCTACTTGCTGTCCAGTGGCGAAGTCGTTGCCGCTGTGGGCGTCCTCATCAACGTCATGTTCCTGCTCTTTGCTGGGTTCAACCCGCCGGTTGCTGCCATCCCGGACCGTTACCGATGAATCGTTGACGTCACTCCACAGCGCTGTTCCCTCTCAATCCCGTCTCGTCCGTGTTCGGCAACTGTCCTGAAGATCCGGTATATGATGAGGTTACGAAGGGGTGAACCAACGTGCGGTCAGAAGTCGCGTGTTAAACCCTACGGAATACACCGCCATCATACAGACACTTGTATCTGCTGGTCGGTAGTTCCAGTGTAAACAAAAATTTTGCCTTGTACATTATTTCCCAGGTCAGCGCGCGCACTGCCTGCACCGTTTGTCGGCAGTTTGAACCAAAGGACGATAACAAGCGAATGCGTTATGGTGTAGCGGAGCTACGCAGCTCTTTAAGTCAGAAAAATTCTAATTTAACAAGCCAACGGCTTACGGCTGACAGCCTGTTAGTCCTACAAAACTAATTTATCAAGTTATGGAGTCACCCAGTTCTATGGAACACGGGTGGACTCTACGAGCTAACAGCAGAAGCGTGACGCTCGTCAAGACGAGCTCGGCCGTGGCGCTCAGAATTGTCAACGGCGTATGGGTAATCTTGCCGAAGGGGAATCTCATACTTCCATGAGTTTTTAGACTCAGGGTACCCACGCCACTTCACTAGATATTGGTAGTGACCATGACGACGACGTCGTTGAAGCGTTCGCTCCACATGGAACTGTAAGTTCCCTTGCTTATCAAGCAACGCCGGTGGCGGTCGGAGTATCGTCTGAAAGCCATGCTGAGTTGGTGAAGATAGTGGAGGATCTCCGTGAGACTTTGGGTCAGACTCAGAACGCCCTGGGCGAAGCCCGATCTCGTCTGGCGACGTTGGAAGGCGATCGCGCCCGTCTTCAGATGGTGGAGTCACGTCAGACTCGTGTCGAGGCTCAACTTGACCGCTTAATTCGGATGCAACATCCTGTGATTACGCCAGTGTACGCGGCGCAAGCACCTTCAAGTCAACATGGGACGGGTTTCGGTATGATTTAAGCAGGCCGACAAAAAAGACGGGACGTGTACGCAATTTGCACGGCAAGTTGAGCGTTTACACAAGGCCCTTCTCGGACACGACCGTAAAAGATTCAATGAAGCGCGGACGCAACTTCCTTTTAAAAATAGCTGACACTACATTTGTAGGTAGATTTTTAGTGTTTGGCAAGACTTGGTCTCCGACCTCATAACATTTAATGCAATTTCTGTATTTGGCATCTGCTTGTTGCTTTTGTTGATCTTGGCTATCAGCCATTGCTTCACGAACATGTCGTAAGAAATTCAATCGCTGTACGAGACTTTGACTACTTTTTGTTGAACATTAGCAGGGCTGATATCAGCAAGCCGATCGGCAACTTCTCCCCCATCAAGCCCTGAACCACAGAGTAGTAGCGTTAACGGAACGCTAGGGTGCGTGAGACCGCAAACGTGAAGCGGAGTAAAGCCTGTTGAGGCATGAACAGCGTTATTTGATGCAAACTAAACAACAGGGAGCTTAAGCTCCAACGCCTAGGCTTATCAGCGCAAACACTGCGCAAAATGTCATTGATGACGCGATTAACACGCTCAGATCGACCATCGATCTGTGTATGTTCCGCCGTGGGCATGGATAATCGGGTGCCGAGCTCCTTGGAGATAGACTTCCAAAATTTCCAGTGAAGTGGGGATCTCTATCAGAGACAATTGCCAAAGGCAAATCATGTTGTCGAAACACGCGATCGATGAACAGCTTTGCCGTGCCTTCAGCGTCGATCGTATCCGGCATAGCCGCTAAAAGAGCTATCTTGCTCAAACGGTCACCAAAGTCCACAATACCAGTGTTGCCTTTCGAATCCTTCGGTAGGCCGAACACAAAATCCATACTCATGGACTACCAACACCCAGTGTGTAACGGGGCACCCTGAAGCTTGTACTGGTGACAGTACAAGCTACTTATTCTGATGACAGAATAAGGCGGTGCCTCGGAACGTCACGTACACTGGTACGTGCAGAGGAAGACGGTAAGAAGAAGCGAGTACTTGGTTTAAGTAAAAAGTAGAACTGTATTTATAATAGTTAATGTCTGCAATAAATCACTATTTATCTTCATCTAACTATGTCTAAATACAAATGTGTAAATCAACTATCTGCTCACCACTCATTGCGTGCGTCTGTCGTGGCGTGTCTTCGTTGGTTGATATAATGACCTAAATCAACCAATTAGAAACTACTCGTAAGTGCCACATAACATTTGTCCTTATGACAATATTCTGAGAATATAACTCTTATAGTTATATTCTATTAACAATTTCTTATAAATTGTTATGTAACGATTCACCCCGTTACATCACCCCCCCCCTTAACCATCAGTCACTTTAGTGACTGATTGACTAAATGGATACTCGTCCCAAATCATTTGGGACAGGGTTTGCACTTGTTGGTTCGAGTCCACTTTCCAACAGTTTATCGCATGGTTAACAAGCCCATGCGATGCGCGAGCAAGGCCGCCGAGAGCGCGTCCGCACGTCTCTGTGCGGACGCCGAAGCAGAAACCACAGCAACTGATGTCTCATCGGTTGCTGAAGCGGCCCAGCCTGTGTCACCTGTTGATGCAGGCGCTGGTCATGAAGACACTCATGTCTTCACAGAGTACGAGCTCGGTGTCTAGTACTCTCCTGATACGGAAGACGGATCCGTATCGACGGCGATCGAATCTAAGCCGCCTGCCAAGCGTGGCATGGATGATGCTATGCGTCGTAGCATCTTTGGTTCATCTGATGAATCAGATGAACCATCGCCGTAGCGAAGGCGCTCGAGGTCGCGAGACTCGGGCGCTCACAGTGGTGTCAGTTCTCCTATTGACACCACTTTGCAACGAGGTGCCAGTACTTCTGTCGACACGTCGCAGGAAGAGCAGAACCGCAACGTGTTGCGTCTCGCTCCTGAAAAGAAGGCATGGATGCCTCCAAAATCCGTCATGGATCACTTGTCGGCGACGACGAGTGATCGTTATCGAACACGATTGTTCGATTCGTCAAGGATCCATCACCTTGACCCCAGCGCGAAAAACTATCGCGCTGAGAATGAATTCTTCATCGATGCTTTCTTTAGACATCGATGGTACAGTAGGAATCACAAGCGTGATGGTCCCTCTCTGCTTCAGGCGTGGAACGCCTACATCTATAACCTTGAAGATGTAGGTCGTGACGCTTGGAACGACAAACTTATCAAAGCTCGTGATAAGTTTAAGAAGAGAACCCCGACGGGTGCACGCTACAAGCTGCATCGTCTGTCAAGGGAGAGTGGGTTACCCTGCCTCTCTTGGGGAGACTCGTGCCCGTGTTGTGTGAACAACTCTGCACGAGCACCTGAGGAGGCTTACCTCCTTACTAGCCCGTGGTGGCGCGTACGTATCTCTATTGAGATGTACGAAGGGATTGACAACTTGAAATCCCTTTACGACCGTGCCGGGAAGACTTTCTCCGGCGGTCCTTCTGCGGCTCAGGATGTGCCGCGTCGTACTGCTCAACCAGACCCAGTACGTCGATCATCAGTTGGGAGCGGGGCTCCCAAGAATCCCAGGACGGGGGATAGACGCGCCACCGGACGAGATAACTCGTCCGACGTCCGTTCACGTCGCGTTGGTTCAACAGCTGCTCATCCAGATAGCGCTGGCCACCGCGAGAGTCCTCTAATGGAGGTGGAGGAGGAGGAAAGACGCTCTCCACACGATCATGGGGATCCGTGTGTTCCCGAGAGCTTCTTTGATCGCGTAACTCTTGAGCTGCGCAACAATCTCGAGCATGAGCGGGACAGGCGTCTCCAAATGGCGGACACTGCCTCGAAGCATCGAGCTGAGTTTTCCTTTGCTCAGCTTGAGAACGAGAGAGCTCTGACATCTCGTCGTGACGAGCTAAGGGTAGCTCGTGGGATTGTTGATCGGTCTCGGGGTGAGATAAATGCTCTTCAGACCCTTGTCGATGCCCACCATCGGGAGCACAAGGCCCTCTGCGAGATGCTTGAGCGCAAGGGCGTTCTTCATCGGAAGAAGCAGCGTACTGATGGTGCGGCTTAAGCCGACTAACGTAAAACGTGGGATGCGTTCGCATCTTACGTGGCAACTCGATCGTGTATGCATTGCCTAGGCGGTGCAATAAACGAACTGGGCCGATGTACTTGGGTAGTAGCTTACTGCTACCCAAGTTAGTCACTACATGCTTTGGTAGGTTAACCGTAGACAGTAGGGACTAAGTCACCTTTATTAAATAAAAGAGTGTTTGCCCTTCCATTCTTGTCAGCGTTTCGTTTTTTTTATCCACCGCTTCGGCGATGGAGTCTTGCACAAAACGGACTACCGTTTCACGAGCCAGTATGAACTCATCTGATGACTCGTTAGCTCCAGTGCGCTGTGAGCGCACTGCAGCAACATCAACCTTTTCTTTAGTGAGGGCTTCCGCACTCTCACTGGCATCATCTTCTTCAGTGAGGGCTTCCGCACTCTCACTGGCATCATCTTCTTCGATATCGATGTTATCGATATCGGCACCAAACGCAATGACATCTTCGTCATAGCGTGATGAGCGTGAACCAAATCGGTTTTTGCTCGCGCGAGTCCCTCCCCCCTTAAACCATAGTTACACTCTAGTAAGGTGGGTACACGCGGATGGCGCAAGCCATTCACGTAAAACGGTGTATGTGTCGTGGACGCATGCACCGAGTTGTTGATGGCAAACTCTACCATTGGCAAAAACTTACTCCAACTTTTAAAGGAGTGTACGTATCCTCGAAGTATCTCTTCGAGGACACGATTGGCACGTTCCGTCTGACCGTCTGACTCTGGATGATCAGATGTCGACATCTTCAAGCGCGTTCCGAGTGATTTGAACATGGAACACCAGAAATCAGCAGTGAAGCGTGGATCTCTGTCTGATACGAGTTCACGGGGTAACACATGAAGTCGGAAGATGGTGTCGATAAAGACACAAGCACAGCCACTTGCCGTGATTGTCTCTGGCACAGCCACAAGGTGTACCATTTTGCTGAATCTGTCAACAAATACGAGAATACCCGTATTCCCGCGTGCGTCTTTGGATAACCCGAAGACGAAATCCATTGAAATGGATTTCCAGCACACTGCCGGAACCGGTAGAGGCTGTAAAGGTGCACGCAGTGAAGGCCTTGACTTCACTCGTTGGCAGACTTCGCATGCGCGAACATACTTTCGCACAAACTGATACTGGCGGGGCCAGTAAAAGTCTTGACTTACCGTGAGATATGTTTTCTCTCGGCCACGATGTCCTCCTATAGGAGCATCGTGATACTCGAACATGATCCGCAAACGCAGATCAGTATCATCTGGAATGACAACACGTGGTGTGTCACCAGAAACGGCTGTATAATACATTAAACCGTCGCGAGTAGTGTATCGATCTGACGCAGATCGATACGCAGGCGACAATCGTTTCAACGATTCTCGAGATGGCTGTGAGAGATGTGTCAACAACTTCACAATCTCACCATCTTGGGCGTATGCCCGCCTCACATCATCATACAACGTTGTAGATGGGACTGAGGACGTCGTAACCGCAACAGTGACTGCCTCACTGTTGGGTTTCGCGACTGTTTCAAAGTCGGGACGACGTGAGAGTGCATCAGCGACAACATTGAGTCGTCCTGGTTTGTACTCGACCGTAAAGTTGTATTCCGCAAAGAATGACAACCACCGCGCCATTCGTTGTGAAAGGTGCGGGCTGTTCACTGCCGTGCGTAATGACGCATGGTCAGTGTAAACAATGAAGGGTCTATCTCCTAATAGATAGACTCTGAACTTCGCGAGTGCATACTTCATGGCAAGGAGTTCCTTGTCATGCACTGGATAGTTCCGCTCAGCTGGTTGCAGCTGACGCGACTGATAGCAGACAACGCGTTCAACGCCTTCAAGGTCGTACTGCATTAATGCACAGCCGATTGCGAAATCGCTGGCATCACAGACCACATGAAATGGCCTGTCCTGATCGGCT